CCTTTTGCATCATCTTTTCATTGTATTGAGGTCTAGGACACTGTTCAAATCATGAAAGATTTTCAATGGGTATTCCTCATTTTGGTGTTTATAGAAAACAATAATTTACAGATCTTTACGTTTCATTGTGAAGAATGTTTTCTACGCAGCTGCGCACCGATCAAACCATATGAATATGTCGAGAAGAGAACGGCAAATCATCTAAAAAAATCCATCGTTTGGGACAGACAACATGTGGCTGAGCTATAGATGAAATCGTGGAATCGCTATAGGTATATTTTTTATTCCATAATCGATAACATATAAATTTAGGCGTAAGATTATATAGTAATGAAATACGTAAGAACTCTGTATCACATTGAGCTTTCAATAATTTGATAAATTGTTTTTCGTATAATCTAATCTCTTTCAATATACCGCGACCATGTTTGTTGGTGAGGCGTTTTAAAATATTGATATTGTTTGATGAAATGTAATTGCATAAGGAAATAATGAGATGAACTAGTTCATCAATCATTTTATTTATTTTTTCATAAAAATAATACAGTGAAGCTTTCGACACCTTTCATAGGGTCATTTTCAACACCAGTGTTTAACGAAAGAAATTTTATATATATAGACTATACAAAAAACAATTTGTTCTTCTTTTCTATTATGGTCTAGTCTTTTCTAAATATAGAAATGATGTCATCGTAGTGCAATGTTGCTCCGCTTTTTCTTTTATTCTATCTTCATTTGAAAATGGCGAGTTCATGAGATATTGTGTTATATGAATTTTGATGTTTGATTCTATGATGTAAAAATCATACGTGAAAGAACAAAATATCAAACAACGATATTTAGAAAGAAAACACATACTCGACAGCTCTTACATTGCCATAGCTGCCAAGGTACAAAATACAAAATCGGATTGATTGGAATAGGTACTGTAATCACTCTCGCTGCTTCGGTTTGGTCTGCAACCGACGCTGAGAAACATATCCTCAGGTACCTTAATCGGTTATGCGACGATCTGATCATGATTTTTGATGCATTTGTCGTGAAAATTCTTCTAACGTATTTATCAGAATCATAACAACATGCAGCACTGGAATTTAAGAGAAATGACCGATGAAAACACGATGAAGACAAGTTCACGACGGTTATTCCAGGACTCATTCGTTGTTTAAACTCATATTTTACTCAAGCGTACAGAAATATCTTTTTGTTTGATTCATATTCTTTCACATAATCAAAATACATTTATTCTCTAATGGAGCTATGGAGAGGGCGTGTTTAATCTCAAACCGTAACCAGTTTCTGTCAATTTCTGATTGCTGATTTCTTGTTTTTATACCAGAACTCTTACTAAAACGCTAGAAATCAGAAATCTAGTCCTGACTAAAAACCGACCATTCATGTATCAGAGTATCTTCCACCTGTGGATCGTAGGCATCACCAGAAATCAGAAATCTACTTCCTCACGCAAAACTGGTAGTCAATGTTTCAGAGAATCTGCTTCCCATGGATCATATTCATCGCCAGAAATCAGAAATCTACTTTCACACTCAGCTAGCAATCAACATAGCACACTGCCTTCCCTCCATCCATCATATTCATCACCGGAAATCAGGAATTTACTATTTCACTCAAAACTAGCATTCAATCTCAAAGAATGTCTCTCATCCTCACCCTCACTCTCTAACCCACCTTCAACACACCAGGAGCAGTCTTCAGAGTGTTTCGATTCTTTTTTCGAATAAAGCGAAACGAAAAGTAAATTTCTGATTTCTGATCTTTTTCGGAAGTGACCCATTGAAAATAGCGAGTTCATGAGGTATTGTGTTATATGAATTTGTTTGATTGTTAGAAGGGTCTCTTTTATTTCTCTTCCTTTTTTTGTGTTATCTCGTGCAAGAATTTGAGGTTTATCAAAATTAATCATATGGCCTTTATTGTGTAGAACATGATCTGCTACTGCACTCTTTCCTTCGTTTTTTAGTCCCTTTTTGTGCTGATTCATTCGATAATTCACTTGGAATTGTGTTTGTCCAATGTAAACTTTTTCACATTTAGTACATGTTAATTTATATTTAACGCCGATTTGCATAGAATCGATTCCTTTATAATTTTTATTGAAAAGTTTTGATAATGAGAGTCCTTTACGGTAACCAAATATGACTTTAGTCGTTGGATAAATTCTTCCTATCATATTTTTGATTTTATTGGTCATTAGGATCGTTTCATGACCATGATAAGTAATAGGTACAAAAAAGTTTTTCTTTTTAGGTAGATTTTGTGATATTGTTGCATTAAATTGATCAATTGTGTTTTTTATCTTTCTTTTTACTAAGTTAAGAGGATAACCGTTACTAGTCAACATTGATTCTATGATTTTGCATTCTTCATTTAATAAGATTTTTGATGAACAAATAGAAAGTGCTCGAAAGGTTAATGTTCTTATCAATCCGATTTTGTATTTTTTACCTTGGCAGCTATGCCAATGTAAGAGCTGTCGAGTATGTGTTTTCTTTCTAAATATCGTTGTTTGATATTTTGTTCTTTCACGTATGATTTTTACATCTAAGAACGAAATTTCGAAATTGTGGAATTTTCGATTATGGAATAAAAAATATACTTATAGTAGAATTCATGAAACTCATCAACGCAATTAGTGACAACTTGAGTATCATAACTGATGTTAACAAACACATCAGTTAAGTCAGCAAGCAGAAACAATACTTGAAAATATTAATAACAAATTAAATCCATTTGAAAGTAAACTATTAAAAGATCATTTTAACAGAATCAGAGAAAAAGAACAAAAGAGAATTAGAGAAACTCACTCAAAGAAAATCTTCGACTTATCTAATGGAAATGTTATTTTACAATGCTGAATTTTTCATCGACAGGTCCTCAGAGAACCGTCTGTAACTCTGAGACTAAAAGCCCGGAGAAGATGAAAATTTGGATTTTCCGCATATACTCTACAAGATGAGACTAGTCACAGTCAAATCTGAAAAATTCATTGAGCATGCTTCTGTGGCAAACAGGCGTTTTTCTCGTGCAATGACTCCTAAACTAATACAACAACAGAAACCAACCAAAAATGATTTCATGACTAGTCTCGATGTTGAGTCACTATAAACCTCAATTCCTGTAAATGAGTCCATAGAACTAGCAATTAACATAATTTAAGAAAAGAAAACAAACAATCCATCATTTACCAAACTCGAAGACAATGAATTAAGAGAACTTTTCAAGTTTTGTGTAACAAACATGCCATTTCGATTTTCTGATGAGTTAAACACATTTTTTTATAGGTTTTTGAATAAGCTCTTTCCAATGGTGAGATTGCCGAAATCCAAAAGTAATTTTTCCTGGGGTCTCTAAAGAACGGATCTGTAGAAAACCCAGAAAAAATAGTTTTGGGATTTCACAATTTCACCATTGGAAAGAGCATATTCAAAAACCTATAAAAAGTGTGTTTACTGACCTACCTACCACATCTACAGCATATGTCATGTGCCTAGTAAAAATTGCCCACTGTGCTACACTTTTACACATAGGCATGAAATATATATGTTCTTAAGGCTACACTGGAGATCTTTGGAGGGTCTCCAGAGAAATTTTTAGATTTATATTAAATTACGAAGCTTACACATTCAACCAGAGAAGAAAACATAGTTTGGATAGTCCCTTAGCGAACACCGACCGGAGGAAGGTGTGAGCGTTGTCTTTGATTCAGAGTTATGCAAGGTTGTTCGCAGATATAATTTCCTAAAGTTAAGGGGCCAAGCGAGTGCAGACGAGCGTTACCTTGTATCTATCTCATGATTAAAAAGACATTTCTATTTTTCTCCCTTATGATTGGCTTATCCATAAAATATCTGACAGCCATTTGTTCCACCATTGTGTAAGACCTGTTTACAAAGTAAGTACTGTAGGGCTTAAACTATAGTGATATAGTAGAAAAAAATTAAAATTTGAAGTAGAAACAAGGAAACGCTCGGTCCCTTGACTTTAGGACCTTATATCTGCCAACGACCTACCATAGCTTTTAAACACTGTTTAAAAGCTATGGTAGGTCGTTGGCAGATATAAGGTCGTTGTCTTTGGCAAAGACAACGAATTTTTCTCTGATTTGATGTGTAAGCTTCGTTTCCAAAAACTGTTAATGAAGATTTCCATTATTGCGTATTAAGTTAATCATTTCAGAGTTTTTGAAATATCTTGACAATATCTGCTCAAGATATTTCAAGACAAATTCTGATACAAAACTTGGGAAAAATCAAAACACCGTTCAGAAGCTTGAAAGATTTCGATCACTCTACACACGTTCTTGAAAGATCTGAGGCGAAACCTGAGAAATCTTTAAAGATTTATCAAGACCTGCATTTACGACTTTTCTCCTAGGAAAGTAGTTGGTGATCAGATTATGATTTCCTCTTCGAAAGTAAAAGTTTAGCGTATTAATGAACGTAAGTCTGATAAAATGATCATGAAAAATATTGATTTGAGAAAAACAAAAATTAGTCGACAACGTTCTCTTCCAATAGGTGTTGCATTCAGACTAAATTTTCACAAATAACACAATAATCAACCGATTGTTCCCTACTGTTTTTTGTTCTGTAGGTAGCTGTTTTCTTGCAATTAGTAAACATTTCGGTAGTGTGTATAACTGTAGTAGTGCTACTATCGTACGCCATCAAAACAAAGAATTTGATTCGAGATTTTGTTGCTTAACTATTTCTGAAGTGATGATAGATATTTCAGTATAGATGCATACTCATCATCTTTTACAGTTGTTTGCTATGATTCAAAAACTTCGGACGTCCTGTCGGGGGGAGAGAAGATTGAAGAACTCTTGCGTTTGTGAAACGTCTGTAGTCACCGTTTATTTCAAGAACAAAACACGTTCACAAATCTATTAATAAAAGTTTAGTAGTAAATTCGCAGCGTACATCGAAGAGCAAAGAATAAATCGTCAAAACTACGTCATACCATTACTCCTCCCGGTGTCACACAACAATTTGATTTTGTGTACAATAACCATTTGTGCTCCTGTAGTGTGCTATAATAGATAAAGAGGCTGCGTTGAAATGCAAAAATAACTTTGTTGTTATTGATTGTGAGTAATAGCAACCGGTCAAGAAGCCAACAGTAGCGACAAAGATCATAGGTAATAAAGTCAAACGTTGTGGTGGTGTGGTGATTTTGTCCTTCAATATTGGCGCGTTTATATCAAATAAATCTTGCTTTTCTAGTTTCAATACTTGGTATGTTAAATTAAATAGAAAACATTTTGTTTGTTCAAGTTGTGCTGCGCGTTCAAACATTTCGGACTGTGTTAACGATTGAAATCCGGATAATAAAATAACAAAACTACAATTTTTAGCAACGAATTCATAATTATATTTAAAAACGTGTTCATGTATCTTTCGACTACTGTCATAGTCATTATGATTTCGTTGTAAATGCGTTAATAAAACGCCTGTCTCTACTTTTAATCTTTGTTTAAGTTCATGTGTATATTCTAACGTTCTTAGATGATATGGGATTCCTACATCTACTTCTGCGTAGACATCAGATAAAATTATATCATATGTTTTTTTAATAGAATTGATAAATATCCTTGCATCATTTATATAAACAGTCATTAGAGGATCGGTTTTGAAACGAAAATGTTCTTTAGCAATTCTCAAAATATTTGGATCAATTTCGACAATATCAATGCGTGTCATCGGATAATAATAACGTAAAATTCTTGGTAATACAGCAGCCCCTAAACCGATAACTAAAATATCTGTTGGTTCGGGGTTCCATAATAGACTAACAAGCATCATATTTGGATAACCAACCGCAGGAATCAGCGGATTGTTCATATTCATTCTTGATTCAACTGTATTCGTTCCTCGAGTATTTATTCTCAAATCTCTAATCGGGCCATTTTCATAGACTTGAATTACTGAATAGGAGGATTTAAGTTCAACAATAAGATTATATTTATCTGCATAAACCAAATTCATTAAAAGTAAGAATAGTTTATGCATGACGATATAAATTTTTTATTAAAATTTCAAAACAATTTTTCTTCGATACATCAAAATAATACATCCTAGCTTTTCTCTTTTCTTCTGAATATTCCATTATGTTCGAATACGAATCCACACAAATCTTGTTGTTATACAGTTTCTTTGCTAATTAACTCAGTAAATGAAGGAAACCATCAACAAATGATGACAAATAAATAAAAATTCTCAATTTTTCCAAAACAATGGACTTTCAACTAGTAGACAGGTGGCAAATCTTGTCCATATATTGAAGCGTTTCTACCGGAAAAACTTGTGAAACTCGTTGGCGAAAAACGTCTGTCATGATCATGTTGAGAACCCCGTCTTGAGCGATGATGGCGATTCCTTCTTTCCATTTCTAAATCGTCATCTGCATGTCGTTCGTTGGATAATCTTGTTCTCACATTTGACGTTCGTTGTTTCTGTTTAAACAATTTTTTCTGTTGTACATATTTACTACATTTGTATAGATAGGAAGAAGAAATTATTTATGAATAAAGGGTTCTTGATTAAAAATACTTACTATAGTGGACAAGGTCTAAACTTGTAGCATACAAGAGCACCAGCTAGTATTGAGACAAGCAATACTAAAAGGGTTATGCCGATACCAACGGCTATATGGGATCATCCATAGAAGACGTTATAGGTGATTCCAACGTTTATAGGGATTTAGTAAGATTTGATGTATATAGATATCGGCTGACATCCGAGACGTCGGAGATCATATATTGAACACTGATGTTTGTTTAAACCATTTTCTGCCATTTTATCTTACTATAGTCATATCCCCTAAATGAATTGTGATCTATTACAGTCAGCATCTACAGCTTAGAAATCCGTGTTCGCCATTTTCGGAAACTGAATGGCCTGTGAAAGTTTGAAGGTGGCTACTATAGTATCAGAAATTCGAAATAACTGGATGCTGACAATTACAATTGATTTTGAACTGTTACCAAATATAATTTGAAAAACGATCATTTTCGATTCTAAAAATACATCTTATCGCACAGCTTTCGTTCAGGAGAAAACAATTCCTAAAAATGCGTTATTATAGACAGAAATAGTTAGAAGGTGTTCTACTGCATATTCATGGTCTGCAACGTCTCTATATTCATCTCGCAAAAGAAAATTTCATTACGTAACGATCTTGATCCTATGGCGTTAGTGGCTTTTCGTTGTATTTCGACAACAACTTGATCCTGTTTAATGTACATTTTCACTTTGCTAGGTAAATGACAAATGAGACGCCTCACATTTTAGAGATGCTTCTGTCAAAAATCATGAGAGTTTTCCCGAAAGACTCAAAATATGCACCAAGAAAAGAGCAGATATGATTCGGCGATTCGAAAGAGCTTGGTGAGAAACCGTTCAATACCGAAACTTGGAGAAATTTGTGCAGTAGATCGCGAGATAGTACCATACAACTTTGTCATGTAAACTGTCTGTCTATTTCACAAATGGAAACTTTTAGTGGGAGACAAACTTGAAGCTGATCTACTTTCAAACAATGTCTGTCCATCGTGATGTGAGCATTATTGCATTTTCAATTTCTGTCTACTTGTTTGGAGTATTCTGAATAAAATAAATCAAATGTTTGTTCATTGTATTTACAGTGACTTATATTGTTTGTAATAAAAGAAACTCGAAATAATAATTTAATTTGAAAGCAAACATTTTTCTCGTTTGTTTTTGTCTTTGTAATCAGAAGACGACGAAGCGAAAAGGGAACAAGTCAAGCAATAAGGGTTAAAACTAGGTAACATGACGACCATGACTTCTGTTGATTGAATTACACACGCGTCTTCTTATATTAGCTTATAATTGAACAAAACGAAGGATTAAAAGCTGTAATATAAACGCACAAGTGCTTCGAAAAAATTGCTTTTTTTGCATTGAAAAAAGACCTTCAAGCACTAGTGAAAAAGAAAAATATTCAGAGTCAGCAAGGAGTAATCGAATCAATATAATGAAAACAGTCGATTGGCATAAGATGGGTAGATACTATACTGAGAATTAATGTCTCTAGTGAACTCTGCCAGTGAAGTTTTCAATAGACAATGCTACGCGAAGATACGTAAAATCAACCGAAAGTGATCGTTGACATCGTGCAAGCAAAAGTTTTGCGTTTATATCCTGTTAATTTAACTTTTATTTTTATTCCATATTACATTTTGCCGTTGTGTGGAATCGTTGAAAATGCTTTTTCTGTGACTAGAGTCTATTGACACGTTCGGTCTGTGTCTGTTTTTGCAAAACCTTTTACTGAATGTCCAATCATTCCAGATGATGATTTTAATTTCTACAATCGTGATAATTACTCGGATAATAACTGAAGTTCAGTTAATGATTGGCCCACCTGCAGATCAACCTTGCTGCGATGACGGTATATTGCCGTGTTATAATAACGGCACTTGTGTAAACGATACTATGAGTATTTACTCATGCACATGTCTAACAGATTGTGGTGGAATGGCTTGCGAAGATGGGATGAATTCGTGTAGTGGTACGTAGCAAACTTTCCAGTATTGTCTTCATAATCTACGCATAACTAATACCTTCATTCTCTACTATTTCTCTGTGTTTTTTATATAGATCCAACCGTGGCATTCGTCTCCTGTCCGACAACAACAACAAGTACGTAACGTAGATAAGTGATGAGTTGACCAAAGTTTATCTTGCTATGAGAACTGGCTGCAAAATAGTTATGGTTAATATAAAGGGTGTTCTAGAAGTTCTGAAGTAATTTTAGAATGATGCATTCTACAATTACTTCAGAACTTCTAGAACACCCTTTATATATATATATATACAATGGCGGCGGACCGTTTTGAAATTTGGTAAGGCTCAAGCCTTACCACGCCTAGTGGCTCCGTCGCCACTGTATATATATATATATATATATATACTAGCGAGTAGTTAACACCTTAGAACGTTTTAGCAACGTCAACGGTCACGACGAGTACATCATCAACCTCGAGTACAAGTACCTCATCAACGTCCACCACCAGCTCAACATCATCGTCCACAAGTTCATCCACTTCGAGTTCAAGCAGCACTTCGTGTACGTATTCCGTTAGTGTGACGAATTGTAGAAAGAAGGTTGTTGTTGGTTAGGGAATGTCGCTTCCGAAAACAGGAAAGACCTATTTCAAAGCTTTGGATGCTGAACTGTAACAGTGGGTTTAATTTAATGTATCTCGTTCGCTAGAGCTTGAAAAGAAATGTCGAATGCATGTTATGTTGTTCAGTTCCTTAGTAACTAACTAGTAGTAAGTTGTTATTGTGTTGTTGGAAATGGACTGCATTGGAAATTGAGGTTTACAAACTAAGCGATTAAAACTGATGAATGCATAGTTTTAGCCTTTTTTTGAACCTTGTACTTCTTGCGACTTTTTTTTGTAATTTTTAAAAAAGATGCATGTCCGTTTTCAAAAATGCTTCGTATTATTATGTGGGATATTTTGACCTCAGATATTGTCCGCTATTGTCGAGTAATATTTGATTCGGACGACTACATAAAACTAAAAATGAGACATCTTTTGATTTTTTAAAATGAAAACTGGATTTTAAAAAGTGTAATCAAACGAAAATTTGAAATCTTTTAAAGCGAAGTTTTTTATTGAAGATGGATGCTCCTCAAAACTCTCGTGCAAATTTCATTTGTCTTAAATGACGCTGGTTCCTTCTTGTAGAACAATCATATCTCTAAGAAATGAGATAAGAACATTTATTTACAGACCTAGGCAACATGGCCAAAAATTTCACAACAAAGTGCGTCATCGGACGAATTTCTTCAAAAATTTCAACGTAATTCAACTTTTTAACGATCATTATTAAATTTAGAGTAGAGTAAAATGAAGTGATATAAAAATGCCATAATATATCGCAAATCTTAAACTAGCTACAAGTAAGAACTCTTAGAATTAAATTTATAGCAAGATAGTTGTTTTTAAAATGGCAGTTAAGTCTGTCGAACAAGAATTTAAAAGAGAACACAACTAGATTGATAAGAGAACGTTTTGAATATTTTAGAGAACGCAAATTAATTGGGATAGAAAAGAGAACGCATTTTGAATTAAAAATATTTAATTTTTACTATTTTCTCAATTACCAACCATATCACTATACGGTAGCTGTGGTGTAATGGTACACTGTAAGTCTCATGATATGCATATAATGATGGTTCGATTCTAGTCAGAGGCCACTTATTTTTTTTTCGCTTTTGTGGACTCATTGCTTTATCTATGCAATTCGAATAAATTCTTGGAACGAGAAATTTTTGAAAGATGTATTGTCCTCATGGCCGTTTTGTACTAAGACACACTGATAACCGAATAAGTAATCATAAAATAATAATGACCATATAAGACAATCGCAAAAAAACTGACTGAACAACATTCAAAGTTGTTTTTAACTACAAATATCGAGCCAACTATATCTTTCACTAACTTTCTCACTTTATATCGAAAAATGACAGGAAGAGTTTGACCTTTTGCGAATAATTTTTTTAATAATGATTTACAGAACTGGCCAAAATTATAGGTTCAGCTTTATTTATAATTTTTCTCCTCGACTATAATAGCCAGGACAGAGGTAAAAAAAGATTTGAACAACTGAAAGAGTTTATAACCAGATGAAATGCATATGAAAATTCCTGCAAACCAGGTATGTGGTTCACCTTAGTTCGTTAGCGTATATATACAGTAGCATTGAGAATTTTCTAGACTGTTATCAATCACACGAACGATCAGCAGTTGTCAGTCATCAATATTTCTTAAGTTTTACTTATTTTGATCAGAA